AATAATAAATAAATAAATAAATAAATAAAATAATAATGTTTGTGTGGCTATTGTGTTGCATACGAGTGTATATATGTACACTGCACCTTACTTTGGTCTTACAGGCCACATAAGTTACTTGAAAAAATAAAATATTGGAAAATACAAGAAACCATCGAATGGAAGTAAAAATAATTTTACAGGGTGAGCGGCATTCACCACTGCTGCCATACATGGCTCATTTTGTGCCAACTTTATGTCTCTATATCTTGGTAAGGACTGAGCGCAAAAAAAAAATTGGGGGACTTTAAACAATCAGCAAATTAATCTTAACATTTTGGTATGAAATTTTTTTTTTTTTTTTTTGAATTTTATGTGACACAGGGAGACAGTTTCAGAATTAGGGTTGCAACAGTCAAAGGGTTAATGTGTTTTACAGTAATGTTCCTTTGGTAACATTTCCTTTGGGAACATTTCTTAGACTGAAGTATGGTTACTTCACACTTTTCAGAAGTTATGACTGATTTGCTTAAAGTTGCAAACATGTTATCATTAGTATGTAACAATTATTGTGTCAGATTTAATTTTTCACAATAATTGTAGCAAACATCAAACTGCCAAACATTTACTATTTTGTGTGAAGCCCAATTCATCTCTCATACTGCCACTTGTAAAACCATCGTTTGCGTTTGTGTTAAACTCTGATCATCTGTCATACTAATACTTGTAAGCCCTCATTTACTCATGTGTATAACGCTTTGATCACCTGTCATATTACTATGTGTAAATCATCTTATTAAACTTAATTTATTTGCTGTAACTAAATAAATACATATGCAATACCTGGGTATCTGTGCTTTATAGATGATTTGCAAGCCAGTGGTTTTACCAGACACCATCTTGAATTCTTGCTGTAGCACAAGATGAATTTATGGGGACTTCATATTTTTTTCATAATACAGTGGACCCCCGGTTAACGATATTTTTTCACTCCAGAAGTATGTTCAGGTGCCAGTAGTGACCGAATTTGTTCCCATAAGGAATATTGTGAAGTAGATTAGTCCATTTCAGACCCCCAAACATACACGTACAAACGCACTTACATAAATACACTTACATAATTGGTCGCATTCGGAGGTGATCGTTATGCGGGGGTCCACTGTACTCATGCATCTTTCAGTTTATAAACCGAGTTTATATAGAAAAGAAAAATTGGATTTCACATTGGAGGGAGGGCGTATGGAAGAAATGAACGTGTTCATATACAATGGACTCTTGGTTTTCGTGTTTAATCCATTCCGGAGAGACTGGCGAAAACGGAAATTGGCAAAAACAAACCATTTTCCCATAAGAAATAATGTAAATCCAATTAATCCATTCCAAACACCCAGAAGTATTAACAAAAAGTTTTTTCTTACCTTAAAGATAGATTACATGCACAAAAGAATGAACATTCAACATGACACTTACCTTTATTGAAGACTTGTTGGTGGATGGAAGACAGGGAAGAGGGGAGAGGGAAGAGGGAAGAGTGGTTATTCTTTGGAAGGGGAATTCCCCTCCATAAAGACTCTAGGTACCAAGTCCTTATCTGGGGTCACTTCCCATCTTTGATCTTTAATGCCACTAGGACCAGCTTGAGAGTCACTGTCCAGATAGGTCTGTTTCTGGCGTCTCCTTAAAATTTCCCTAAAATGAGACATGGCATTGTCACTGTAAAAATCGCCGGTATGGACTGCAACAGCTTTCTCAGGGTGATGTTCCTCCACAAATGAATGCACCCTACTTCACATTGCAGAAATCTCCTTAATCTCTGAAGAAGGCACCTTCTTCCATCTCTCTTCCTCCTCCTCTGAAGCAATATCCTGAGCTGTGGTCTATTGCTGCTGCAGATAATGCTCTTGCAGCTAATCAGTGGTTAGCTCTTGATTGTGGTCCTCCACCAGCTCTTCCACATTCTGGCCACTCACATCCTACTCCATAGAATTCCCCAATGCCGCAACTGATTGCACAACAGGTGTAGGGTTGACAGGGTCACCCTCAAACCCTTCAAAATCCTTCTTTTGGACACAATCTGACCACAATTTTCTCCAAGCAGAGTTCATCGTCCTGGAAGTCACTCCCTGCCAAGCCTTATCTATAAGGCTTATGCAATGGAAGATACTGAAGTGATTTCTCCAAAACTCTCTTATGGTCAACGCAGAGTCCGAGGTTATGTCAAAGCACCTTTGAAACATTGCTCTGGTGTACAGTTTTTTGAACTTTGCAATGATCTGCTGGTCCATGGACTGGATGAGAAGAGTGGTGTTAGGAGGCAAGAACCTCACTGTTACAAAACTGAATTCCTTAGACAACTGGTCTTCCAAGTCTGGAGGATGAGCAGGAGCCTTGTCCATTAACAGGAAGCACTGGAGTGGCAATTTATTTTCCAGCAGGTATTCTTCACACTCGGGCCAAACACTTCGTTGAACCATTCCAGGAAAATTTCCCTCATGACCCATTCCCTACAGTTAGCCTTCCACATCACACACTATTTACTCTTGACGACATTGTTTTTCTTGAACACTCTGGAATTTTCAGAGTGATACCCCAGTAAAGGCTTCACTTTGAAATCCCCACTAACATTGCCACACAACAAGAGAGCTAGCCTGTCTTTCATAAGCTTGTGTCCTGGGAGTGCCTTTTCGTCCTGCATGAAGTAGGTCCTCTTTGGCATTTTCTTCCAAAATAGGCCTGTTTCATCACAACTGAACACTTGTTGGAGTTGGAATTTTTCAGCCTGTACACAGTCTTTGAATTCCTCGCCATACCTTAGCACACTGTGTATGCCAGATCGCTTCTTTAAGTTGTCGAACCAGCCTCTGCTGGCCTTAAATTCATCAACATCAACACTCGCTCCATGCAGTCTCTTTATGAGATCGTCATGCAACTGCCTTGCCTTTTCACAAATTATCGACTGCAGAACACTATCTCTCTCTGATCCACATCAATAATTTCTCCACATCTTCAATTGTTTGGGATCTCTGTTTCATTATCACATTCACCCCTTTCGCAACATCGGCTTCCATGATTTCTTTTCTCTTCTTCACACTGGAACTGATGGCTGATGGTGCCTTCCTGCACATCCTGCTGAGGATGGCAATACGTATGCCACTACCGTATTTTTTAATTTCTTTCTTCATTTCTACGGTGTTCCTCACTTTCTTTACCAAAGGAATGGCACTAGCTTTCTTTGGGGCCATGGTGGCTTATTTAGCAGTTACACACAATAAACAGGTGCCAAAAACAATGGATTATTACGAAATGTTTTGTATGACATCTCAGGATATGTTCACTCACCGAGAAACAACACGACACTGCCTGAGAATGCGTGTGGGAGGCAGCTTTGTGTGTGTGCTGGACACTGGACAGGTTCTGTACCATCGATGAAAATGGAGGAAATCGACAAAAACAGAGCCAATATTTTGATGAAAAAACTTGGTGAAAATGGAAATCAGCAATAACGGAGACTGACGAAAAGGGAGGGTCCACTGTATTTGGGAGTAGACTTGTCAATGGAAGGGCTTATGAAGAATGAGATAAACCATAGGGTCTGAAGGAAAAAAGGTGGGTGGTGCAGTGAGGTATCCATGGAGACAAAAAAAAAACATTATCCATACAGGCAAAGAAGGGAATGTATGAGAGTATAGTAGTACCAATACTCTTATATGGGTGTGAAGCATGGGTTGTAAATGCTACAGCAAGGAGGAGGCTGGAGGCAGTGGAGACATCATGTCTAAGGGAAATGTGCAGTATAAATATTATGAAGAGAATTCGTAGTGTGAAAATTAGGAGGTGTGGAGTTTCTAAAAGTATTATTCTGAGAGCTGAGGAGGGGTTGTTGAGGTGGTTTGGATGACTTTCAGGGTGTATAAATCTGTAGTGGAAGGGAGGAGGGAGAGGAGGAGTAGGAGTCATCCTAGGAAAGGATGGAGGGAGTGGGTAAAAGAGATTTTGTTTGCAAGGGGCTTGAACATACAGCAAGCATGAGTGAGCATATTAAAGAGGAGCGAATAGAGATGAATGGTTTATGGGGCCTGACAAGCTGTTTGAGTGTAAGCAGGGTAATATTTTGTGAAAGGATTTAAGAAAATCAGTTAGCCAGACTTGAGTCCTGGAGGTAGGAAGTACAATGCCTGCACTTTAACCTTTTGACTGTCTTGGTCATATAAATATGTCTTATGAGCCAGTGTTTTTGATGTACATTAGTACACCAAAATTCTAGCGGCTTCAAATTAAGCGGGAGAAAGCTGGTAGGCCCACATGTGAGAGAATGGGTCTGTGTCATCAGTACGTGCAGTATAAAAAAAATCCTGCAGCAGGCAGTGCATAATGAGAAAAAAAAAAACTCTGCCTGTGTTTTTGGATTAAAACGCTGACTTTGAAGTATATTTTCATATAGTATTTATGGTTGTATTCTCGCTTTCTTGGTCTCATGTGATAGAATGGAAGACATTGTACAGAAATAGAGATGATTTTGATTGGTTCCACAATGAAAAGGACCATGAAATTGAGCTCAAAATAGCAGAAATGTTTGATTTTTGCCGTTGTTCGAGAGAAAAGATTATCATTTCTTAAGAAAAATAATTTTTCTTTTTTATTTTGTGACACTGAGACACACTTTAAGATTTGGGGTCGCGACAGTCAAAGGGTTGAAGGAGGGGTTTTGGGATACTGACTGTTTGAAGTGACATCTAAACTATTGTATCTGAGCACCTCTGCAAAGACAGTAATTATGTGTGAATGATGGTGAAACTGTTGATTGATGGTGAAAGTGTTTCTTATTTTTCTGGGTCACCCTGCCTTGGTGGGAGACAGTCGATGAGTTGAAAAAAATTATTTGAATCTTGCCCAATTTAAGCTTTCCTTGATTGTTTTATGTCAAGAGAACAAAGCATTGCTCAAATTAATAATATCCAGTCATCAATACAGGTCCTAATAAGAAATTAAAACAAATGCATTACAATAATGCTACATCATACCTGGGCTCCACTGTCCTCCATCAAATCTGCCACTTTTGTCCACTCATCAACTATCTCCTTACTCATGCCTGGCCAATGGTACTCTCTTGGTATACCAATAATTAAGCCATCTAAACTAGGATTTTCTGGAAGCTTCAGATTCTGCAGATCACTTGATACACTAGTTGAATCCTGGAAAAAAATTAAATACAATAATTATTCTCTTAACTGGAGCAAAGATGGAAGTTCATCAAAAGTACCTGATCAATTGGGTTGAAATAGCTATATGAACCTGTGAGCCACAAGCAGCAACAGCAGAATTGACCAGGTAGCCAACATGGACACCTGGCCCCAGGCAAGGCTGTGAGGGTAGAATCTTTGATAACAGTCACAGGTATGTCATAGATATATTCTCCTTAGCAGAATTTTTATTATCACTTCCACGTGTCAGTTCACATAAAAAACAAAAGTCAACCAGCCAGGTGTTAGTAAAAAAAAAAACTGTATATAAACTTGTGCTCTCTAGACTGGAATACTGCTGTACACTAATGGCCCCCTTCAAGGCTGGCGACATTGCAGACCTGGAGAGTGTACAAAGAACTTTCAAGCCACACACAAGTGCGATAAGGCACCTGAACTACTGGGAACGGTTGAAGGTCCTTGATCTGTATTCCCTCGAACGCAGCCGAGAGAGATACCTGATAATATACACTTGGAAGGTCTTGGAGGGATTGGTACCAAACCTGCACACGAAAATCACTCCATATGAAAGCAAAAGACTCGGCAGGAGATGCAACATTCCCCCGATGAAAAAGCAAGGGTGCCACGAGTACACTGAGAGACAATACAGTAAGTGTCCAGGGCCCAAGACTGTTCAATTGCCTCCCAGCATACATATGGGGGATTACCAATAGACCCCTGGCTGTCTTCAAGAAGGCACTGGACAGGCACCTAAAGTCAGTACCTGACCAACCGGGCTGAGGTTCGTACGTCAGGTTGTGTGGCCAGCAGTAACAGCCTGGTTGATCAGAGCCTGATCCACCATGAGGCCAGGTCTCAGACTGGGCTGCAAGGGCATTGACCCCCAAAACCCTCTCCAGGTAAACCACTTATACCAAATGACCATATAAAAATATATTTTCTTTTTTATTAACACATTGGCCATTTCCCACCAAGGCAAGGTGGCCTGAAAAAGAAAAACTTTCACCATCATTCACTCCATCACTGTCTTGCCAGAGGCGCGTTTACACTACAGTTATAAAACCTGCAACATTAATACCCCTCCTTCAGAGTGCAGGCACTGTACTCCCCATCTTCAGGACTCAAGTCTGGCCTGCCGGTTTCCCTGAATCCCATCATAAATATTACCCTGCTCACACTCCAACAACACGTCAAGTCCTAAAAACCATTCGTCTCCATGCTCACGCATGCTTGCTGGAAGTCCAAGTCCCTCGCACACAAAACCTCTTTTACCTCCTCCCTCCAACCTTTCCTAGGCCAACCTCTACTCTGCCTTCCCTCCACTACAGATTTATACACTCTCAAAGTCATTCTACAGTGGACCCCCGGTTAACGATATTTTTTCACTCCAGAAGTATGTTCAGGTGCCAGTACTGACCGAATTTGTTCCCATAAGAAATATTGTGAAGTAGATTAGTCCATTTCAGACCCCCAAACATACACATACAAACGCACTTACTTAAATACACTTACATAATTGGTCGCATTCGGAGGTAATCGTTATGCGGGGGTCCACTGTATTTTGTTCCATCCTCTCTACATGTCTGAACCACCTCAACAACCCCCCCTCTAGCCCTCTGGATAGTAGTTTTGATAATCTCGCACCTCCTCCTAATTTCCAAATTACGAATTCTCTGCATTATACTCACACCACACATTGCCCTCAGACATGACATCTCCACTGCCTCCAGCCTTTCCTTTGTTGCAACATTCACCACCCATGCTTTGCACCCATTTAAGTGTTGGTATGACTATACTCTCATACATTTCCCTCTTTGCTTCCATGGACAAAGTTCTTTGTCAACAAAGACTCCTCAGTGCACCACTCACCTTTTTCCCCTAGTCAGTTCTATGATTCACCTCATCTTTCATAGACCCATCTGCTGACACATACATGCCTAAATACAGTGGAACCTCGGCTTACGAACTTAATCCATTCCATGACTTTGTTTGTATCCTGATTTGTTCGTATGCTGAGTCAATTTTCCTCATTTAAATTAATTAAAAAGACATTAATTGTTCCAGCAGAATTCCTCTAGAATGAATAAAATATGTCATTATGTGATAAGTGGAGGTGGCCATAACCACTCCTGCACTGTTGTGGTATTCACTGCCATCTAATGACGGCCCCTTGAAACCATCTATTAATATAATTATTATTATAGCACATTATTATTATTACTATTATAATGGGGAAGCACTTGTGGGGAGGGGAGGGGATGGAAGGTATTCATGCTTAATTTAGGGAACTCAAACACAGAACACAGATCCAATTCCCCAGATCAAGAGCCCCTCACCACGTATGTACTACTACTACTACTACTAATAATAATAATACCAATTATAATAATACAATAGTAATAATAATAACAGTAAGGAGAAACTTCAAAAGGCTGCCAGCGGTTGGTGCCACCATCAGCAAAACATTGGTAACCACTACTTTTCACCTGCCTAGACTAAAGCAGTCTATAAGTATTAGGTTAAGTCTGCCCGAAATGCTTCAGCATGATAGTGGCTTTCTTTGCTCCAATCATATTATAATATGTAAACACACGACTCACGAAATCGTAATGACACGATTGCAAACAAACCATACCCCGGCCGGGATTGAACCTGCGGTCATAGAGTTTTGAGTCTCTATGACCGCGGGTTCAATTGGCCAAAATGCCAATTTCTGACCACTTTATTGGGTAGTTGAAGTTAGTAAATGGGCGGTGTCTTGTACTCACTCAATAGAACAAATGGAGTTCTAAAGAAATAGTTATGAGTATGGTCGACTGGAACAATGGAATTAGCCAAAAATAGGGCTCAAAGTGGGGGAAATCGTCGATTCGTTAATAACGCTGAGGTCGCTAACTTTGCGAGAGCGTAATTCCGTAAGTTCCCCATCAAATTTCATACTTTTGGTGTCATTACCATTGGGAAAAGATTCTCTATCATTTCATAAGAAAAAATATTTTTTTTGTTTTTAATTTTTGTGACACCAGAAGACACCTCAGGATTTGGGGTTGCGAAGGTCAAGGGACTAATATATGTTAGTGTAAACTTATAATCTGGCAATTTCTGCTTCAAGGCAGTAGCGTGGAACCTAACCTGCCATATAAGTAGGGTCCTACTGTACATGTATACAGTGGAACCTCTACTTAAGAGTTTAATCCATTCCGTGACCTTGCTCACATTTGGATTTGCTCGTTTGCAGAGTCAATTTTCCTTGTTTAAATTAACTGAAATGGAATTAATCCATTCCCGTGGAATTCCAGGCATGACAAAATATGTGATGAATGGTTTGGAAAACCGACAACTTGTCAGTTGTCAAAACCATTCATCACATCTGTCAGACACTGCAACATCATGGGATCTTGGTACAAAAGGCTTCAACCCTTGTCCAATCTTTGGACGATAACCTACTTACACCAGTGGAAGGTCCCACTGAGAGCCTGCCTCCTCCTGCTTCAACTCTCCTGTCTGCAGTATATAAGCCACCTCACTGGCCCTATGCTGTACTTGATACAAGAGTGATGGACCAAACACATTGATTCCAGGCTGAGCAACTGATTACCTCAATCTCCTCCTCTCCTTACCCATTTCTACTTTGTATTGGACTGATGAAGCCACTGTGTGGCGAAAGGTTTCTTCAGTAAAGATTCCCATGTGTTGCATAAGTGTCTCAATTCTTCAACATGACAAAACACTTCAATTATTTCCCTAATATCAACTCTACGGCTTATTTATCTATCATAATTCATATAATATGACATAATAAACAATATAAATAACATAGAAACCTGATATATACTCCAGAATGAATAAAATATGTCATTCATGTAGTGGTATTGGCAGCATCGGTGGCAGACGAGAGTTTGTCTGGAGACAGGACAAAATACTTCTTGAATAATTTCACTAATATCAACTTTATGACTTATTTATCAATCACAATTCATCTAATATGACATAATAAACAATATAAATAACATAGAAACCTGACATACACTCTAGAATAAATAAAGTATGTCATTATGTGATAGGTGGAGGTGGCCACAACCACTCCCGCATTGTTGTGGTAATCACTGCCATTTAGTGACGGCCTTTTGAAGCCATCTATTATTATAATAATTATTATATAGTACATTATTATTACACACGTATTATTATTATACATATTATATTATTATTATATTATTATACAATTATTATAAGAATTACTATTATTATTATTATTATTATTACAATTTAACTCTTTGAGTGTTTCGGTGGTATATATACGTCTTACGCACCAATGTTTCTGACGTATTTATACGCGTAAATTCTAGCGGCTTCAAATCAAAAGGGAGAAAGCTGGTAGGCCCACATGTGAGAGAATGGGTCCGTGTGGTCAGCGTGCACCACAAAAAAAATCCTGAAGCACGCAGTGCGTAATGAGAAAAAAAAAAAACTGACCATTTTTTTGGATTAAAACGATGACTTTGAGGTGTATTTTTATATAGTATCTATTGTTGTATTCTCGTTTTCATGGTCTCAGGTGATAAAATGGAAAACATATTACAGAAATAGAGATGATTTTGATTACTTTCACTATGAAAACGACCTTGAAATTGAGCTCAAAGTAGCGGAAATGCTCGATTTTTACCAATGTTCAGGAGTAATTCTTTCACTAGTGCACTGATATTATTTATACCATTTTTACAATAATGCAGTAATCTGTACAACAGTAATTTTTTTATTTTTTTGTATGAATAAAAAATCAAAATAGAAAGCAATAGTAATATAAGAGGGGCCTAGAGACATGACTAATGAACAGAGGATATGTTATTTTAGTGCCAAGAATGTCTACATTGTATATTCTAGACCTCATTTTGAAATTGGCATCTTTTTTAATTTGCGTGAAATTGGCCAAATTGCCAATTTCTGACCACTTTATTGGGTAGTTCAAATCGGTAAATGGGTGGTTTCTT